ATGTCATTTATGTCAATTCTACCAATAATGAACCGCTATTCACATAAAAAATGTATACCTGAATCCTAGGTAAGTTTTGAATTGAATAAAAGCTCTTTGTGTAGATAATATATAAAAAGTATATAATATACATATGAATGTAAAACAGGATACGAGATAGAAGAAATAATAAAATTTTCATAACAAGCCAACAGCCTGCCGCAAAGAGAAACATGATAGTATTTCTATACCACAGTGAGATGTGATGGGAAAAGCTGTGATGTGGCAATCTCTAGTCTAGAAAACATATAATCGATAGAGAAGTAAATAGGGGTGCTAAAGCATCAATAGAATGAATAAATAGATAAAGGTAAGCTATGCAAATCAGGATAAGACATATACCATAGAGCATTTTCAAAAAATTCGAAATTAACTCGAAAAAAATGAGAGTAAATTGAGATTGGAGAGGAATGTGCGGAGTGTCGTGATATGCAGGACTGAGGAGCAGATATAGACAACATTGTAACAACATCAAAGGCCAAGATGCTCTAAAGTAGATGGGACGGAGTGGTTTGGAGGATTGGCGATTTCTCTGGAGAGATCTTGATTGATGAAGAGTCTCTGGGATAAAGACAAAGCACATTAAGTGAAGGACAAGAAGGAACTTCAGTTGCCAATTCGCCGATGCCGGGTATAGACAAGGGGCAGCCAAGCGACGAGACTCTACGAAGTGTGGCAGTCTGGCAGTCAACCTCTTCTGCCACACTCGCGGGTTTGGTACTCCCGCCTAGGCATAAGGAATCAACAGATTGCTGAGGCAAATAAGTTGAAATAATCCCCTCCAGTTCAGCTAGCTGGGTCGAGTCGTCTAGAAGAGCCGAACTCGAATCACGCCGACTGCTCTTGCATGAATTCTCCAATCGGAGAAACTCGGATAAGGAAGAGGTTGATGCAGCCTGACTCAGACTAGGATATGCTGAGGATAGATCAGAATCTTTATCCAGAGCAGCAGAAGAACAAGTGAGAGATGCCGGCAGAGAAGGCCGTTTTGCAAATAGCGATGATGCAGTTGCAAGCTGATCTCCCAGGGAAAGAGGAGAAAAGTTGTAGATAAGTGACCTGTGAGAGTTCATTGAGGTCTGAAACCAAAAAGGAAGCTGTTGGCAACTGCCAGACTCAGATCTTGGCTCCAGGTCTATCCCAGCCAGTGTGCCCCTGCTGCTGGCGCTGTAGTTCTCTGGGTCATTCTCAGCCAGACAAGAGCCAAATGTTAGCAGACTGGGATCTTCTGAAGTGTTATGGTGCAAGCCTATCATGCTGCGAGTGGCACTTGAGATTCCGCTAGTCAGCTCACTAAATAGGTTCTGCGAACTCGCAGAAACCGAAGGTTTTATTAGCATAGCCCCTTCGTATGTGTCTGATGTGATAGGACATGAGTCAGAAGGATTAATTATCTTGTCAATGGACGAGCTGTTTGTCCCAAATGATATGGTAGTTGGGTGGGATATTAAATCACAGCTGGATAATTGAAAGAAATTGGGACTGGAGGCATTAGAGAATTCGAACTCGGCCAGCTGTTCTGGAATCGGGGACAGTTGCATTTGGTTAGTCGAGGAATCAAGACGAGCCGGTGTGAAAGACGAGGCAAGTGTGAAGAGACGCGGCAGATTACCAGTGCCGATTGAATATGGCCAAGTATGTATATCTGGCCCTGATCCTACAAGGCTGGATATATGCTCACTGGGATCAAATTGAACAGACCTAGCGGATTTGAGGGTATCCATAGGTACTGGATTGGCGAATGCATAAATATCTATGAGAGAATTAACGAGAAAATATAGTTGGGGCCCAAGGTATTAAATCATAAGAGAGCGATTTCAAAGGATTCTCGTGAGTAGGGATATATCACAAACAAAGACAATCGGAAAATGGAGAGAAACGACATAAAAATGGAATCACGTGGACAAAATGATAGAAATGAATAGATTTATGGACGACTGTGTAGATTTAAGTTAGCATAATGAAGCAAGATGTGTTAGAAACTTGAGATAGTTTGAGTTAAAATGCAGGGACCCAGAACTAGGAATTCACAAGCGTGTTTAATTGAGTGTAAATCTAAGTTGGAGAAGGGGAGATTGGGAGAAAGGAACGAAAACTAATGAATCGAATTATTTAAACCGATTCAGTAATAGGCAAGCAGTGATTGGTGAGTATTAACCGCTTTTGAGAGAGATGATGGCGGAATGGTTAGTATTAATTACGATAAAGTGGACATGCAATAGGGTATACATAAGGGACGGGAACGAGGAGGAGTAAAGGGGAAAGGAAAATAGGGCCAATTACCAATAAAGAGATGAATGAATTAGCTAATAAAATACAGCAAGCATAGGAGTGAACATAATATGCAATGTGCGATGCAATGTGTATTAAGGCTGTAGTTTTAACAAGCCTCCAGCACATTACGAAGCTCCAGTTGCGTGCCAAAATAATGGACGGTTGTGAGAGATGAGCCTACTAAGTGGGAGAGAAAAAAGTCAGGGTAAAAACATACAGACAAATACACGAGCAAATTGTTTGGACGAATTCAGCAAAAGCATTTTTTTTTCAGAGGATCGCTAAAAATTCGAGTTGAAAAAGATAATATTTTTTCCCCAAAATTGTTATTGTTACAAATATATTAAAACTTTGGAAGCATAAAAAATCAAAATCCGTGGATAAACTAAAACGAATTTTAATAGAAGGTATGTGGTCGCAGTCTCCTTTAGTTGTATAGAAGTTGTTTGACCTTGTTTCCGCAACTTGGTCATATTGGTTGGTTGGCTTAGAGGAACGCACCTAGTCCGGAGTCCATTGTTGGCATGATCATTACCAAAGTTGAACCGTGGACGTGGTACATTCACAAACATCTCGCCGGCATCGTAGTCGGCATGTTCAGTGAGTTTTGCCATTCGTAGAACCATATTACAACTCGTCAGAGACAAGTGAAGCCGATTCTTTGAGCAAACGTGTGCTAAACAGTTGTGGTATCTCCTATTCTGCTCTGGCCTATTCACATTTCCTATATCCTCCTATCACGCCTTTACCGTCACAATTTTCACTTGCTTAATTAAATGTGGTACGGTGTGCCCTTTTGAGCGGCTATTATGAGAACGCTCCGCAGTCAACGCTGACCTTCTCATCGCCCTTCATCCTTTTGCTGGGAATGTCCATCAGAGTCTGCCATATTGTTGCGCAGTCCTCCTTCCCTAGGTCTTACCACAGTCTATCTCTTTTCCCGTAAGATCCGTCTGCACTCTCCCTGGTTCACATATTTCACTCGACCCCTGCCATTCCATCTGTGCCAATCGAGGCGTTATTGGCCTTACCCTGCGCCTGGTGAACTAATTCGAAGCCCAAGCCTCAGAGTAAGTTTCATGGTCATGCCTTTGCTAGAAGGACCATGTCTCTTGTAAAACCTACTATCAGCCCATTAGCTCCCATCGCCTCTGCGTCTATCCTATTTCTATCTCTAATACCAAGTTTATGACTTGCCATGCCCTAGTCTCTTGTGCGCCAACTCACAAATGTTGTGGTACTGCTTGATTTGGTTAGGTTCAATGTTGAAGCCCAACGTTTTTGGGTTGGTACACAAGAGACTAGAGCATGGGACGTCATAGACTTGGTATTAGAGAAACAGAATAGACGCGGCGGCGATGGGAGCTAGTGGGCTGACAGTAGTTTTTTATAAGAGACATCGTCCATGTATCAACAGAATGACTACGAGACTTACTCAGAGGCTTTAGCCTCGAAGTAGTCACCCAGACGCAGGGTAGGGCCAATAACGCCTCGGGTGGCACAGATGGGGTGGCAGAGGTCGAGTGAAATATGTGAACCAGGGAGAGGGCAAACGGATCTTATGGGGCAAGAGAGATACTGTAGTAAGACATAGGGAAGGAGTACTGCGTAACAATATGGCAGACTCTGATCAACATTCTCAGCACAAGGGTGAAGGTGGTGATAAAGCCAGCGTGGAGTGCGGAGGGTTCTCATGAAAGCCGCTGAAAAGAGCACACGGTAACACATTTAATTAAAAACTAAAACATTGTGGCGGTGAAGGCGTGATAGGAGGATATAGGAAATATTACTAAGTTGCGAAAACAAGGTCAAACAACTTCTATACAACGAAAGGAGACTGCGACCACACAAAAGGCCA